CTGCAACCTCCACCTCCCAGGTTCAAGCAATTCTCCTGCCTCAGCCTCCCAAGTAGCTGGGACTACAGGCGCCTGCTGCCACACCCAACTAGTTTATTGTATTTTCAGTAGAGATGGGGTTTCACCATGTTAGCCAGGATGGTCCCCATCTCCTTACCTCATGATCGCCCACCTCGGCCTCCCAAAGTGCTGGGATTACCAGCGTGAGCCACCACACCCGGCTGTTTTCTTTTTCTTTTTTTTTTTTTTTGAGACGGAGTCTCACTCTATCGCCAGGCTAGAGTGCAGTGGCGAAATCTCGGCTCACTGCAACCTCTGCCTCCTGGGTTCAAGCAATTCTCCTTGATTCTCTCCGTGCCCGGCCAACAAATTTGTTTTCTTATAACTTGCACATCCTGTCCACCTCCCAATAACTTCTATTCAAACCTTCATCTAGGCTCAGCTAGGCTCAGGGCAAAGGGTAAGTGTCAACGTGTAGATAGTAAAATTCACTCAGAACTCTGATTTTTTTGTTTTGTTTTGAGACAAAGTCCCACTCTGCCACCCAGGTTAGAGTGCAGTGGGGCAATCTCAGCTCACCTCAACCTCCACCTCCTGGGTTCAAGGGATTCTCCTGCCTCAGCTTCCTCAGTGGCGGGGACTACAGGCATGCGCCACCATGCCCAGCTAATTTTTGTATTTTTAAGTAGAGATAGGGTTTCACCATGTTGGCCAAGCTGGTCTCGAACTTCTGACCTCAGGTGATCCGCCCGCCTCGGCCTCCCAAAGTGTTGGGATTACAACCTTGAGCCACTGCGCCTGGCCTTTCTGAGATGGGATCTCACTCTGTCGCCCAGGCTGGAGTGCAGTGGAGCAATTTCAGCTCACTGCAACCTCCACCTCCTGGGCTCAAGGGATTCTCCTGCCTCAACCTCCCACGCAGCTGGGATTGTAGGTGTGTGCCACCACACCCGGCTAATTTTTGTATTTTTTTTAGTAGAGACAGGGTTCTGCCACATTGGCCAAGCTGGTCTCGAACTCCTGGCCTCAAGTGAACCGCCCGCCTCAACCTTTCTAAGTGCTGGGATTACACACCTGAGCCACCGCACCCGACCCAGAACTCTGATTTTTAAAGTGCTCCTTCTAAAAAGACTCAGAGCCACAGAGACATCAGAAACAATCATAGAATGACTCTACATCCTCCCACAATGATACTAGACAGACACATTGGCACACCTCGAAATTTCTGGGTTGTGCACAGCCCAAGATGGCTCATTTAAGCTGCCATGTCCACTCCTCCAACAAATCCAGGCACCATCTAACTGGGGCATGCCAAGTCACAGTCTCCTTTGTGAATTCCATGATGGCAAGAGAGCTCTCATTCATATTTGCGTTCCTGGCACACAGAGCACATTTAATAAAAGTTGATTAAACAAAAATAATGACTTGGTCCTGAACTGCATTCTACAACTGCTCCTTGAGCTTTGTCCCATCCTATAATAGCCATCACAAGCTCTGCTATTTATTCTACCATTTCTGTCCTGGCCCCACCTTTGAGATTGTTCTCACAGTTATCTTCGCCACTAGGTTGCAATTCTGACTATGCTGGTGACACTGGTTCCAGGTCCCTCAGGAACCCCTCTGCCAGTCTGGTCTGCCCTTGAACTCTATACTGGCTCCAGGGTATCCCAGGATTGTCAGAAAGGCCTGGCCAGGATTCACCTGGGAGAGGGATCAGCATCTCTGCAAAGTTGTTGGATTGAAGGAACTTTCATTTTGAGCTACATCATTGAAGAGCTTTAAATCTGAA